TCGGTGGATCTCTTCCATGACCAGACCATATATAGGGTGTGTGTGTGTGAGTGTGTGTGAGTGTGTGTGTGTGTGCACGCCATATATAGGGGTGTGTGTGTGTGTATATATAGGGTGTAGAGACTGACAGCTCAGTCTTGCTTCCTGGTCTTATCACTTCCTAGCTGTGTGGCTTGGAAAGTCAGTGGATCTCTCTCTGTGCCAGCTGCCTTATCTGTAAAACATGGATAATCAATAGCTCCTGCTTCACAGTACTGTTGTGCAGTTTATATGATTTAATACAGAGAAAACTCTTAGAATGGTGCCCTGCAGAGAGTAAGCACTAAATATGTATTAAAGGCAGCCATGTGACACTTTGAGTATAAGCACTTGTCTCTCTTTATCTTTGGCTATGCTGGGTCTTCACTGCTATCTGGGCTTTCTCCAGTTGCGGCAAGCGGGGATTACCTCGTAGTTGCAGTGCATGGGCTTTCTCATTGCAGTGGCTTCTTCTCTTGTTGCAGAGCATGCTCTAGGGCAGTCAGGATTCAGCAGCTGTGGCATGTGGGCTCCGTAGTTGCGGCTCTCAGGCTCTAGAGCAGAGGCTCAATAGTTGTGGGCTTAACTGCTCTGTAGCACATGGGATCTTCCCGGACCTGGGATCGAACCTGTGTCTCCTGCCCTGGCAGGCGGATTCTTTACTCCTGAGCCACCAGGGAAGCCCCCTGTAGTTATCTCTTGTCACTACAAGTGATGTTATGTTTTCAAGCCTCCTCAGAATGATCAGTTCTGAGAGGGAATGGCCACAGCAAGCAGTGAACCCAGAACTCTTAGCTAATACCTGATGGAAGTACACTGAGTTGCAGCCAAGTCTGGGGGATAAAAGATCCACTGTTCTCAGCAGGAGAACAGTTTCCAGGGTGTTTGCATTACGGGCTTTTGATCGGGGCTGCCGGATTGAGTGAGGCCCTGGCACTGGCACCTGCCTGCTCGCGGTGCTCCTGGATCACTGCCTCTCTCGGCAGACCGGCGTGCAGACGTCCTCCCCCAGGGGCTGGCCAGCTGCAAGAGCTGGAGTCCTACTCCCCTGAACTGGGTGTCCAGGCTGGGTCCAGGCTAACACAGAGGAGCTATTCTGCACACTGCCATTTCTCAAAAGCACTCTGAAGTGGTGATGATTATGGTCCTTACAAAGCAGTCTCCATCCCCCTGCTGATGCTGGACAATCTGCCCTGTGTCCAGTCACCAGACAGGAGTTGGGCATCGAAGCTAGGCCTGGGGGAACCTGCAGTCTCAGATATTAAGGTCTGTCATGGGCAGGGAGGTGGTAGGACCTTCTGGTGGGTCTGTACCTGAGGCACAGCCTAAAAACATCCTCTGGAATCCTGCACACTGTCAAGGGAGGGCCCCCACTATCAAATACCGGATGAAAAGTTTCTTTTTATGATTCCTTACCAAGTCCTTCCTTCAGAGAAATACAGTCCCAAGCCCCCATCCTGAACGAGAAGTCAAAGCTAGCACTGGAAGTAAGGCATTTTTCTGCAAAGGTCTGACCCCTGCTTTGGGACCTTCAAGCTGATGTTCTGCTGGAAACTCTTCCAACTGGGGGATCTCAGTAGGCTGCAGGTAGGACAAGAAGGTGGAGGAAGTCAGCTTGCTACTGGGGTCTCAGGCAGCTAGCCTCGTCGATGACCCATCCGTTTAGGGTCCTGGCCGGATCACCATTATTTAGCAGAAGCCTGGATGTCATCAATCTGCTGTTCCAGAAAAGCAGGAGCTAACCTTAACCCAGTGTTTACTACGTGGCCGCCTGCACTGAAAGTTTTTTACATGGGTTCTATTTTTCTTATCTAACTGGCACAACCACACACTGCGAGATAGCGAGACAGGTGCTGTTAGCGTTGCTTTTACACAGAGAACACACACAAACCAAGGGAGGTATCCAAGGCAACCCTGCTGGGAGGTAGGAGAGCCAGGATTTATATCCAAACATAGTGAGTCTCTGGAGCCCACGCTCTCACCACCACGCTCAATGCCTTTATCTGTATATTGCTCTTGGGTTGAGATTTTTTTTCTTTACAGGTTCATATAGAGACCACCCTGTGTGTATGTGTGTGTTTGAGACCACTGTGTTTTGATGTTTCATTCTATCTAGAAAGGCCTGCTGATTCTCTACTCTGGCTTCCGGATCCCCACTGAGAACACCCTTGACTTGGGTGGCCCATAGCAATGTGAGTCTGCTGTTTGGGAATTGTTGGGCTGGCCAAAAAGTTAATTTGGTCAGTGAATCCATTGTTCAATAAAGTTCTTGCTGAAAATGAAATCTGTGTCCTTTATTTTTACATAAACCCCAATGAACTTTTTGACCACAACGAGAAACATAACAAATCCTTTCAGATTCTCATTCAAAAACCCTGTGAGGGTGATAAAGGCACCCTCCCTCTCAAAGGGAGCCTGGGAACCCCTGGCGGCCTGCCCAGTCCTGAGGGTCCTACAACAGCCTGTCTTCCTTCCCCACCTCCCTCCTCGGCAGCGGATGGGCTGGGCAGTGAGTAACACACTGCATTTCCTGTCTTGTCCTTCATACAGCAAAGAACCAACAAGCATCCTACACGCCAATCCCGGTTCTTGCTCTGATCAAACACTACATTTGTCATTTTAAAAGCAAACCAGAGTGGGGTATCTAAAATAGTTACACTCCTAGGAACAGAGAGTAGGACGGTGATTGCTGGGGGGCCAGGGGGAAGGGGAGATGGACAGTTACTCCTCAATGTGTATAAAGTCTCAGTTATCCACGATGAGCAAGTCCTAGAGCTCTGCTATCCAACACTGCATTGTGGTTAATGGTACTGAGTTGTACACCTCAAAGTATGTTAAGATCTCATGTTAACGGTTCTTACTACAGCTATTTTTTTAAAAAAAACCCAAACCTACAAACGATAAGATCACTCCCTGGGTATCTCTTAAAATTCAACTAAAAATACTAACAGCTATTCTATTCATTTAGTTATATAGAGTGAAACATACAAATATGCTAATGAAAAATATTCTTTCTACCTACCTAAATACACATTTGAGAACTCATTTATATTATAGTGAGGGGTCAGCTCTCTATTTTTCTTTTGACTGACATGTAAAATGTTCTACCTGCTCAAAAATAATTTTCTCAATTTCAGTCAATGCCACACAATACCACTACAGATCACGTATCAGTCATAAATCCTACTCATAATAATGTTCATTATGTATGAGGAGGGATATATTAATCAGCATGATTGTTGCAATTACTTCACAATGTATATGCATGTAGAAACATTGAACATTTTGCAGATTATGCCTCAATGATGAGAAAAAGAGGAAAAAAAGAAAACATGTCCAAAGTGCTAAGCGTCTACCTGGTACACTCAGTAAGTGATAATCATTACAGTTTAAAAAAATACCCATGACTGCTGAGAGCTAGGTTTTCTTTTTCTGCATAATTTCAGAATTCAGAATATCATTGGCTCATTGAGGTCTGCACGTGTACTCTTGTCAAAACATATAAATCCTGAAGATATCCTTTTCAAGAGGTGGAAGGAAATTTATTTTAAGCACGCCTTTGGAATGATGCCGTGTCCAAAAGCCAAAGTCATAAGCCAGACATTCAGGAAGCCAAGCTTTCTGTTGGACACACTCTTGGGAGTGCTGAAGGTACACATTACTCTAAGCTGCAATACAGATAGAAAAGAGAAGGCTCCCCAACGATCGTTATAAAATGCGTTCATCAGAGTTTAGGAGACGGGGATGCAGCTGAATCAATAAACATCATCCCTAAATCTCATGCTTGTTTTTTTAAAACCGATTTTTTAAAAAGATCAAATCCTCTTCAATTAATCTTAGGAGAAATAGTGAGTGTAATACCTAGGTATAGCAGCGTCAGGAGAACCAGTACTGTTATTTCCATGGTTAAAGCCTCAAGTCAAGCAAACCAGAGCATGCAGAGCACTGACGGAGTGGCCCACATAGCCTGCTTCCCACAGATCAACTCTTTAGTGAAAATTCCCCACAGTAATGATCAATCAGAGAAGGGCTCACCCCACTGCCGCAGCTCAGCTCCACCCCACATTTCTCCCCGGTGCGGGTAAAGCAGCTGGGAGCAGACAGAGGGTCGAGGGGAGGGAGTACTTACCTCCGCGATCTTCAGCACTGCACTACCATTCAGGTCAAAGGTTGGAGTGTAGGTGATGCACAGTAAAACCTTTAACAGCCGCGAAGGAGGGGAGGAAGAAAAAGATAAAGGGTTAGAATTCTAAACTTCCATTTCACAAGCCACGCATGCAGCCTTGTTTTATGACTTTTTTGCTCTTTGTTTTATTTCATATGTTTGTTTCTATTCCACTCACTGTTCTCTAATTAGTGGTCACACATCGCCCAATAAAATAAAGACTAATAAAGTAAAGGCTGAAAACTTCTCCCCAAGGAAAGAACCATTCTGACTGGCCAGAGATGGCTTTCCTCATCAACTCCAGGAGGTCTGTCTAGTAATAAAGAAAATCAGGCTCAGGGCTAGGTCCTGAACATGAATTCCCTAAATTGATTTTCTAGTGTCATTACTATTGTCCTCATTTTACTGGTAAGGAAACTGAAGCTCAGAACCATTACATAAGCTGCCCAAAGTCACATAGGCACCAGCTGGAGAGCTGAATCTGAACCCAAGTAATCTGACTGCGTGCCCTGCCTGACTATGTAATACTGTCTCTAGTGAGTGTAATACCTAGGTATAGCAGCGTCAGGAGAACCAGTACTGTTATTTCCATGGTTAAAGCCTCAAGTCAAGCAAACCAGAGCATGCAGAGCACTGACGGAGTGGCCCACATAGCCTGCTTCCCACAGATCAACTCTTTAGTGAAAATTCCCCACAGTAATGATCAATCAGAGAAGGGCTCACCCCACTGCCGCAGCTCAGCTCCACCCCACATTTCTCCCCGGTGCGGGTAAAGCAGCTGGGAGCAGACAGAGGGTCGAGGGGAGGGAGTACTTACCTCCGCGATCTTCAGCACTGCACTACCATTCAGGTCAAAGGTTGGAGTGTAGGTGATGCACAGTAAAACCTTTAACAGCCGCGAAGGAGGGGAGGAAGAAAAAGATAAAGGGTTAGAATTCTAAACTTCCATTTCACAAGCCACGCATGCAGCCTTGTTTTATGACTTTTTTGCTCTTTGTTTTATTTCATATGTTTGTTTCTATTCCACTCACTGTTCTCTAATTAGTGGTCACACATCGCCCAATAAAATAAAGACTAATAAAGTAAAGGCTGAAAACTTCTCCCCAAGGAAAGAACCATTCTGACTGGCCAGAGATGGCTTTCCTCATCAACTCCAGGAGGTCTGTCTAGTAATAAAGAAAATCAGGCTCAGGGCTAGGTCCTGAACATGAATTCCCTAAATTGATTTTCCAGTGTCATTACTATTGTCCTCATTTTACTGGTAAGGAAACTGAAGCTCAGAACCATTAAATAAGCTGCCCAAAGTCACATAGGCACCAGCTGGAGAGCTGAATCTGAACCCAAGTAATCTGACTGCGTGCCCTGCCTGACTATGTAATACTGTCTCATATCTTTCTAGACTCAAGCGTCACTATATTTTTCTGTTCCCGTCACCTTCTCAGATCCACACGGGATTAGACAGTCTTCTATGGGCACTTTCTTCTTTCTTTCTTTGCCTCCCTCAGAACACTACCCGGGGCTTATTTATTAGTTCCCCTATTCTCCAAGTTACATAGACAGTGAGTTGATGACATTTACAAGATCTTTAAGGACCATTAAAAATTCCACTTTCTACTTGTAGAGCTATTAGGGACTAGATCAATAAAAGCTCAGGGCATTTTAAGAACTGCTTCTAATTTTGTAGATAAGAGGCCAGCCCCTCCCCTGCCCATTTGGCTTCTGACGGTACACATTATCTGGCTGGTGGTCCCAGACAAGAAACTGCTGGTGTCTGCTCCTCCATCCCCAAACCCTACAACCATACGTGGTCTGCAGCTTGGCTAGTCAGTGGCAGCCCCAGAGGAGGTTTGTCATCTGGTTCTCCCTAACTCATGAAAGAGCAACGAAGCCTGGCATATTTGCCTAGATCAGGACACACTGCTCACCAGCACATCAAGAAGCACAACTGTCCCATGGAACAAAGAACCTCTCCTAATCTCTCCATCTTAGTTACTAGCCAGGCCAGCCCCAGGAAGAGTCACACCTTGAGAGAAAGCAAATAGGTGTATAATTAAAGAAGGAAAAAGGGAATTCTTGCCAATTTTACTCACAAGGTTAGATAACTTCACTGTGGGTCTGCTCCTCCATCTTTTGCTCCTTAAAGCACCTGATAACCGAGAGTCAACTCGAGATAAAAAGCATCTGAAAGCCACACTTGGCTGAGAAAGAGGCATTGTGGGAAATACTACCCCGTGGCCTCATGGGAAAAGGCTTTCTTCTGTGTGATGACTATCTTTTGGGGGTCGGGGTCTGGTATGCAAGAAGGGATGAAAGCTGAGGACAGCAATGCCACCAGGTCCTAATTTGGCCCGGGGAGAGGCCACGTCTTCTGGTGTCTCTGTATGTGACGGTACCCCCGCCTGACGCCCTCCCATCCTCCACCCCTCCCATGCTTGTTCCCCACGTGGGTCATCTGGTGGCTTCTTTGCAGTCTTTGCTCGAATGTCACCCCCTCAGGCATGTGGCCCCCCACCCCGAACACACTCTCTGCAATGCCCTCTTGCACACCTCCTTGTTTCCCTTGCTTCAGAGCAAGCACCAGTTTCATAAATTACTGGTTATAATCTTTCCATCAGACTATAACATCCACTGGGTCCTCAAGGCTTTCTCATAGCAGGCTTTCTTACTACGATTTCTTGCTGCCTTGAATGGCTTCTCTTTCTTGAGATATTTCTTTTTTCTATGCCATGTTTCATGGCGGGTAAGTAGGGGGTATGAGAGAGTGCCTGGTGGAAGTGGTGGTCTGGGGAGGTAAATTGGCCCATCTGGGCTCTTGGCTTTTTAACTATTTATAATGGAATATTACTTAGACATAAAAAGAATGAAATAATGACATCTGCAACACGGATGAACCTACAGACCGTCATATTGAGTGAAGTTAAGGCAGAGAAAGATAAATATATGATATCACTTATACGTAGAATCTAAAGAAATGTTAGAAATGAATCTATTTACAAAACAGAAGCTGAATCACAGATGTTGAAAATAAATTTGTGGTTACTGAGGGGAGAGAGGGGGAAGGGATATATTGGGAGACTGGGACTGACATATATATATATACACACTACTATATATAGAATAGATAATTTATTTAATAAGGACCAACCGAATAGCACAGGGAACTCTATTCAATGTTCTGTAATGACTTATATGGGAACAGAATCTAAAAAATAGTGGATGTGGATGTATAACTGGCTCACTGTGCGGTACAACAGACACAACACTGTAAATCACTATACTCCAATAAAAAAATTAAGAAACAGAAAATAATGTTATTCATAGGACCAACAATCAACTTCCTGCCTTCCATTGCTCTGTGCATTCAGACAAGGTGCACAAGGGTAGATCTGGAAAGAAGTTTTCAAAAACCAACCCAGTTTTCTGTGAGCAGGAGCTGCTTTTTACAACAGTGGCTGGAGGAAGTGGGAGCAGAGTCTATGGTAAGGTCTTCAGGATGCTCACTGAGTTGGCATATTTGCTAATCAAGCTGATCGGGTGAACAAGGAGACTGGACTCTCTCTGCCACAGAGAAGCCAGCAAGTGTAGAGGGAGGCCCTTTGAAACAGTCTGAAGGAAGCTGAGGACCTCTGCACCCAGTCAAGGCTGATCCTGTTCAAAAGATCTTTGGAAAAAGGCTCTTCACACCTAATGTCTGGCCACTAAAAACCAAAGACTCACTGAATTCTATGCAAAAACTAAAAACAAGAAAAATAATGAAAGTGAAGCACGTTAATGAAGCTGGCTCCTTAAGCTCATGCAGCCTGCTTTGCTGGAAGCCAGAGCAGGTTTTAACCCCAGGGCTGATGGTGCCCCTGACCCCCATGACATAGAGACAAGACATGTAAAGAGTTCCAGTGTCAGCAAGGATGACGCAGCAGACAGAAGTGACTTGTTGAAAATGATACGTGGAGAAACCCAATGCCTGCAAGCACTAATTCACTGGATTCAAACACAGACCGGGCATAGGAAATTTAGGGCAACAGCAAATTAATTTAAACTGTCTGCCTTCCACTGCATAATGAAAGGGTAAGCAGTTTAGATTCATATTCTGAGCACGTTGGCCTCAAGGCAAACAGGAGCACCTAAATATTGAGGGCAATTCCGTTAAAAATACATCCCTCACAGGGTCATTAAAGCATATTGACTACATTATCACTGAACAGCAGGAACTTGAGTGATAGGCGGTGTCTTGCAATCTAGCTTGCTGGTACTGCCTCCATAAAGAAGCCAAGGGGATGCGGAAAGCAGGCGGGGGAAAACCTTCCACAAAAAGGGAAAGATCCTTACAAAGGCTAATAAAAATCCCAATAATTAAAAAACGATAATTGAATGGCTACTATGTACAAGAAACAATTCTTCAAATAAAAATGTGCATAGAAACACTGGAGAAAAAAGACTAGACTGGAAAGGAGAATGAGAAGCTGATTTATTGCAAGCCCTGGGCACGAGTGATAAGAATCTGGAAATGTAGCCACATGAGGAATAGAGAGAGAAGTGGACTGGTAATGTTGACAAGTACAAGATCACAGGTATGTGCCTCTGATCAGGAAAACCCTGGATTAATTCTCTCCCAAGAGTACCTTATCATCAAGATTAAAGTTTTTCCATCAGGCTCATACGGCCTTGTGATTGTAATCATAACAGAGCAGGGGCTGAGATGTCAGGGTTAAAACATAAGTGTTTTAGTAACATGATTGTGGCATGTGATTTAATATTTAATTGCTGTGACTTTGCCTATGTCCTCTAGCTCTTTATCTTTAAAATTCCCATCCTACCTCATAAGAATATTTAGAGGAAAAATTAATTAAATGACTTTTTTTTAAAGAGTACATTGAATATATGTATCTCCATGATGTTTTCTCATAGAGTCTCCATTTGATGGAACTCGTGGCAGCCATTTCAATGTAAATTACATACATTGTAAGTAAAAAAAAAATCAAATCATCCACATTCAAAATCATAAATCTTTCCTACTATATATCACTGCTCCCATTCCTACAGTCCAAAGCCCTCACCGTCTGATCCAGCTCCACTTCCTCTCTCCTTAGTGTTTTCTTTCAGGTCCCAAATCAACTCAAGGAATATTCGCCAAGGTTCTAACTGCTTTGGGGTCACAATACAAAGCAAGCACCATTGTTACCATAAAAAAAACTCACAACCTATTGGACAAATGAATGCTTGTACAACTATACTTCATGGCTGACTTAGTAAGTGTTACTGCAACCATGAGGTATATAATAGTTTTGAAGGTTAGAAGACATCTCAGCTTTGGAGAACAGAATCACATATGAGATCATGTGAGCAAAGCACTGATACAGGAGAGAAAAGGGAGGGACAGATGTACCAAGCAAAGGAAATGGTGAGAATAAAGGAATGAGGTGTGAAGACAGAGGCTGGAGATGATGCTAAAAGGTTAGTAGGAACCTTATTACACATCAACTTAAATGCCCCTTTTAAGTGTTTTGCACATATTGTTTTCGTGCTGGTCAGGACAACAAATCACAACTAAAACTAGATGTACTGAGGGAAACTGGAAATCGGGGTGATAAAGCAGACAATATGACACAGATGAATTAAAGACAGATCCTAGTCATTCCAATGGCAATGAACTGACTGGAGTGCATTTGATGAAGGAATGCAGGGAATTCACAAAAAGAAGGCAATGGTCACTCATACATGACAATCTGGGTGCCATCCAACCACTGTTCTGCCCACTGACTCTCTTCTGATTCTAGTCAATCTGGTTGAAATCTCTCATATTCCCCTATATTTCATAAAGCTTTATATACTAATGAAGTAACATGCTTTAGAGAAGATAAACCTTGTTCAAGAATCCATCACATAAAA